CTCAACGCCAGATTCCAGACTATCCGAGGTATTCTACAACCCTATGATTACTAAAGTAGAATGGCCTACATAGGGTATGCCTGATCAGCTATATAGTCAAGGTATGCCAGGATGCAAGCGGATGAGGTTAAAAGACTCCCTTCGTTTAGGCACAGTCCGGAAGTTTACACGTTCGCAAAAGATCTAGCTCTTGCAGATGTATCACTGGCTGAATTCCTAATCTCAAAGTATGCTATCTATTAATAATCCTTTACTGAAAGAACCTCACTGTGCTATATTCTGCGGGCAAATGGATTGGGGTAAAACAGATTTTATTCTTGATATTTTACAAGGTAATTATGACAATTTTGTCGCTCATATTATTATTCTATGCCCATTTATAAACGTCAAAAAACATATCTATCAAGAACATGGGTAATGAAGGATCTTGGGGTATACAAAGTTAGTCCAGGCGAACATTTGCAAGACTGCTTACGAGTGTGCCATGACAAATTCAAAAGAGAACCAAGCCTTTTCATTATAGATGGCTGCAGTTCGAATAAAGAACTTACCCGAAAGAAAGAAATGATTTCGTATTTTGCATTCTCGGGTCGACATATGGAACAAAGTGTTTGGGTTCTTACTGAAAAATGCAACTCAGTCCTGAAGAATCTCAACTGGCCAAACAGCTGCTCATACAATTGCTAAACAACTGCCGAGCAAACAATTGCTTAACAACTGCCGAGTAAAATGTAGCAAATTATAGCAAATACAGTCAAGTCCCGTTAATCCGACATGGTTGGATGCATATGATTATGTCGGATTAACGGGTATGTCGGATAAACGACATTAGGTGATTTGTGATCGAAAATCGGACATCTTCACGATAGATAAAAACCAGGTGTACCTTGTAGTAAGATCATTGAAAACGAAATATTCTTTTTGTTATGTTGTTTATTTATTCATTCCTTAATTTATGATTAATGACATTGCAAAAATACAACTTCCTCCACATGTCTACCATAAACTCTTTTAAATCTTTATTGAGGCCTTGAATGATGTAACGTTTAAGCAAGCGTCGTATGACGCTCTTTGTAATCTTCGTAGAAAGAGTATGCTCTGTTGTACCTCAAAAGCGGTGACACGTAGACAGGAAACGCTGGAGCTATTCTGTGATGTCATCGTCCTTCAATTCCCTCAAGACACTACTGACAAGTATTGAACAACAACTTTTTTTTCAAAAATAGATTATTTTCCTGAAAACAGAAGGTTGAGAAAAATAGAGAACTGTCAATATCGAAGTTAATGTAAACACGCGGATGAAGATCTTAAGGTCGTGTGTACAACATCGTGAAGTAAATGTCAACACGCGGATGTTATGGTCGATGCGTGTATAAACAATGAATTGTATTTATATGTCAGATGTGTTCGCACATGATGTGCATAAAAGTACATTTAAAACACAAAATATATTTGAGAAATCCAACAGCCGTGAGGATCAGACCGGCCGGTCGTATTGTAACCACCTTTAGCTGTCAGAATAAGAATCGCAACGGGAGTAAGAATGATATAATAATTTAGTTTGCTGGACTAATCGTGCTTGGACCAGACAATGCAGTGATTGACATTATGATTATCGATTAGGAAACGATGATATTCATTTAACCAGCTAACAGGGTAGGACCGCCCGATCCAATTAATCGTCTCTTACAACAAGGAGGAGTCCGACCTGAATGTGAAATAATACGTACATTCAAAGCATCGTCGCACTGTCAGGACTGGAGTTGAAAACTGCACCGAGGCTTTACTTTCAGAAATCCAATCACTTCCGTTTCTTCTATCGCAGAAGTACGGGTCATGGCTGTAGTACAATGTGCCCATCGAACAACTTCACTCGCGGAAATCGGCCCAGCAGTCACCTGCTTCCACATACACAGATTTTTCACAGGCTCTCTGACACGCTGGCTCATGTTCCAGCCGAATCGTCATATAACCACCAGTTCCTTGAGTACATCCGGTGTACCCGCTGGTGGTACTCGTGCAGGACCCTACAGATGTACAATGGACCTGTAGGACCTATATAGAAATAGCAACACCAGTCTACAACCTAAAGATTTTATAAAAAGGTTTGCATACATAAATCAACTCAAGTTATTTTTGCTAAATCCTGGAGGGGGCAAATCCCGGAGGAACACCCCAAATGACGAAGGTTACCGTAGATGCTCACAAGTTCAGTAAAATCCTGACGACCCAATAATCATAATTCATTCGAATCTGTTGCATTTTAGACCACTGGTCCACTAGTGCTCCCCAGGGTGAACTTATACTCACCTGTCTGGCCCCACCGATGTCCTGTTTGCCAGTGTGTGTCCAGTAGGTTGGGTGGGTCATTTAACGTTATAAGCTAATGGTCAATGCCCTAAGCGACATCGGTTTTCATTGTTGTAAGCGACCGGAAGTAAAGACACACATGCTGCAAGCCAATAACAGTGTCAGTCATGTTTTGATACATGGTGTCAGAAGACGGCGAATCCCGCTGAAATATGCACAGAAAACTGTCCGAACTTAACGAATCTGACCCTTAGAACAACAGGCGTCTTGTGTGTATCTGTTTTATCGACAATTGACTCTGAAAGCGTTGACAAGTGCTAATTTGCCAATGATCTGAACCGGACAAAAATTAAAATAAGTTTCCAGTTTGAACAACCGACCCTAGATTAGGACGCAACTGATATGTTCCAAGAATTTCAGCGCTTTCAACAGCATATCACGTTTAAGGCTGTCCACTGTCTAAGGCATGTGATAAAGATAAGACGGGTTGGCTGGGAATGTGGATCGGTAGACAAGGCAGGGAGATCTACAAAACTCTTAACTGGGAAGAGAGAAAATCACAACAAGTCAACACACTTCAGGAATATGAGACTGATGACTCAGATGATTGTTCAGAATCCGAAGACATAATCCACATTTACACCTTCGCAACAGAGAGTGTGAACAAAATTGGAGCTGAAGGTGACAGGTGGACCGAAACTTTGAAAATAGGAACAAAACAAATAGAATTCAGATTTGACATAGGAGCAAAGTGTAATTCATTGTGAAATCAGTGTATGACCGCATTAAAGTAGTTAGTGACCTGAAATAGTCACCAACGAGACTGTAATCCTACTCGAATCACAAGATTCGCCCCTTACGAACTGTCAAACTTCCTCTAACCTATGTCAAGAAAACAGTTGATACACACTTTCTAATTGTAGATCTGGACCAGGAAATCTGTGGAGATACGTCCGAGGAATTAGGACTAGTAATTCGAGTTAACATGACCACAGATTCTGTGCTTACCAGAACTCATCCAAACCACAGGCACTCTCCCTGGAGAGTATCGCATCAAATAAGATCCATTGGCTAAACGTGTCGTTCATCCACCATGCAGACAACCTGCAGAGCTCAAGGAAAGGATTGTTGAAGAACTCCAGCAAATGGAGGAGAATGTATACATAACCCGGGTAACTGAATGGGTTAGCTCAATGGTAGTCTCAGTCAGGAAGGAGAAAATCAGGATCTGTATTGACCCTAAGGACTTGAATAGAGAACACCGACCACTTAAGACAGTTGAGGAAGTGGTAGCAAACATTCCCCAGGCCAAAGTGTTCTCGACCTTAGATGCAAAGTCAGGCTTTGTACAGATCAAACTCGATGAGGAGTCCTCATACCTAACCACCTTTAACACTCCCATCGGTAGATACCGTTGGCTTCGACTCCATTCTGAATCCATATCCATATCCCGAGATATACCAGAGAATCATTGATCAGAAACTCGAGGGCATCTGTGATGCAGCACCCATCATGGATGACGTTCTGATTGCAGGTGTCGACACGGCTCATCATGATGAAATTCTGAACCAAGTGATTGGAAAAGTTTGAAAAACTTGAAGCTGAACTATGACCAAAGCTCCATCAGGCAGACAGAGGTTAAATATTTGGGACACATACTCACTAAAGATGACCTCCAGTCAGACCCTGACAAGGTTCCAGCCATCATAGAAGTGCCAGCTCCAGTTGACAAAGATGGCATCCGCCGGCTACTAGGACTCGTACAGAACCTAGCCAAGTTCATCCCTGACCTGAGCAAAGTGGACGCACCACTTCGTTCACTTCTGAAGTCTGATGTACTATTCTCTTGGGACCCTGAACAAGAAGACATTTACAGAAACCCAAGAAGTTATGAAGTACACCACCTGTCCTTGCTTACTTCAATGTGAACAAACCTGTTGAAATCCAGTGCGATGCCTTCACTTCCCACTCTCTGACTGAAACTGAGAAGAGGTATGGTATGCCCAAATTGAGACGGAGATTATCCATCGGTTATCCATCGTCCATGCAGCTACCACGTTTTACTGCTATATAGTTGGGAAAGAAACCGGTGTACAATGATCACAAACCATTTAAGGACATTTGCAGGAAGCCACCACACGCAGCACCGATGAGACTTCAAAGAATGCTTCTCAAACTTCAGTGGTATGACCTGACTGTCAAGTATAGGAAAGGCAAGGACATGTTAGCAGCTGACGCCTTGTCAAGAGCCTACCTGACATTTAATCACCCTGATGTTGTCGACCTGAACGTAGTCAACATGGCCGACATGATCTCAGTAACCCCAAACCGCTACGCAGAGATCAAGCAGTGCACTAAGGAGGAACTGGCAACCCTGAGCGAAACTATCTTAAATGGTTGGCCTGACAACCGCCAAGAAGCGCCCATGGAAACACGTCCATACTTGGACTCCCGTGACCATTTGTCCTTATCTGACCGTATCGTTTTCAAAGGACTGCGGATTGTAGTGCCACCAAGTCTCCGCAGCCATATGCTCCAGCTCATTCATGAGTCACACCTTGGTATGGTTAAGAGCAAACAACGGGCGCGAGAAGTAATGTTATGGCCGGCATGAATGCTGACATTGAGAACATTATCAGAGACTGTCACAAGTGTGCTTAGTTCCAAACAAAAACCAGAGTGAACCGCTGATGCCAACACCACCTCCAGACTTGCCGTATCAGGAAGTTGGCTGTAATTTGTTCGACTTCCAGAACAGGAAATATCTCGTACTGGTAGACTACTTTTCGAGGTACATAGACACTGTCGAGCTCAACTCACTTACCACACCAGCAACCATCACTGCTGTGAAAGCCATCTTCAGCAGCCACAGCATCCCCACAAAGTTGCGGTCAGATAATGGCCCACAGTTTGACTCTCGTGAGTTCAAGGACTTCTGTAAGTCATATGGAATCCAACATGTCACCTCCAGTCCCCATTTTCAAAGTTCCAATGGGGAGGCTGAACGAGCTGTTCAGACAGAGAAGAAGCTATTGAAGAAGTTTGAAGACAAACACCTTGCTCCTTTAGACTACAGAACGACGCCATTTGAAGGTATCAACTTGTCTCCCACTCAGCTACTCATGAGCAGGCGTCCACGCAATACACTGCCAGCCGCTCAAGAACTTCTTGTGCCAAGACCCTTAGTCAACATGAAGGCAAGCCCCACCTCACTTGAGAAACAGAAGCAGACGTATTACTACAATCACAAGAAAAGTGACAACGAGCTTCGAAGCTCAAAACCAGGCGACATTGTAAGAATGTATCCACTAGGTAACAACAAGACCTGGACAACAGCCATCGTCAACAGACACCACGAAAGTCCTAGGTCTTACTATGTTACATGTGACAATGGTACCTACTGCCTTAACCGAAAGCATATGAGAAAGGTTACCGAGTCACACTATCAACGGACAGCACCTGAGACAGATAGGAAGGCACCCAAAGATCACCAGCAGAGTTACATTCCCCCCCAGGTGTATGTTCCACCTTCAACTCCACCACCAAGTGACCAGCCCAAAACTACCAGGAGTGGAAGGCGCATCATTCCACCCAAAAAGTTGGATTTGATAATACCATATCCAGTTGAACTCTCAGTTATCATTACTAGGTAGTGTTAGGTTCAGCACAGGTCAACAATTGCAAGTGACAGGAGAGTGGCTGTATGTAAACCTGTCAAGCCATTTATATTGCTCAATAGTTACAAATCATCTAGTTTGTGTTTTTAATCTAGTTACAGAATCTAATGACAATACCACGTGCTGATCCAGAAAGAGACACTGTCCAAGAACTGTTGTGTGCCAGTCTATCCAAGAGTGTGATATACCCTCCCATCTAGTTATATTTAATTGCATAATATACTCAATGAACTTTCCGTCCAAATCACATTTACATATTTAAGGAGGGAGATGGAACGTATTACGCTCATTGTCCTGTTTGCCAGTGTGTGTCCAGTAGGTTGGGTAGGTCATTTAACGCAATAAGCTAATGGTCAATGCCCTAAGCGACATGGGTTTTCATTGTTGTGAGCGATCGGAAGTAAAGACACACGTGTTGCAAGCCAATAACAGTGTCAGTCATGTTTTTTACAGGTCAGTTCCTCACAAAGGACCATCTGGGTATTTGACTTTTGAAGACCAAGCCAGAAAGAGAACAAACACCCGAGTAAATCATGTGAGCAAGTTGTAATGAAAGCGTCCGCAAAAACAAACATTGCTAAAAAATATTTTAGCAGACCAGAAAGCGACCATCCTTGAAAACAAACATTCGTGAAATGATATTTGTTCAAGGTATAAAGAGACCGATCTGTATCGAAGAAAACGGAAAAACAATTCATTGAACTATTCCGACTATATTGGTATGTGTTCATGAATTACTGTTAAATAGTGGTGACACCAGGTGATCGCGAGAAACCAGGAGCACATGGCGCAAGTCAAAATAGGGAAGTGAATGTTCATCATATTTGTTACAGATGCGTCAAATTTAGAAATGTCTTTCCACATATCTACCATAAAACTATTAGAAAGCTTTACTGGGGCCTTGAATGTTGTAACCTTGGTGAAACAGCTTCTAAAAGAGTCGTCTGACCAATCTTAGTAGAAAGAGAAAAACGTTTTACTAATATTTTATATATCCATAGTTACATACTTAACCAATTCTTTCCTTGGTCTTTTATTATGTTGCTTTGTTTCGATATCTAATTAATGTTTTGGAATCACCCGGTAATGAGTCATTTCATTCTTGTTCATATATACATTTTAGTCGTTTCACCAACTCCCTTATAAAACTAGCAATATGCAGTTTCTGCTGGTTTCCCGGAATTTAACCAAATCCTCAATAACTTTTTGAGCATTGATGTCTAATTAATTTGACCAAGAAGCATGTCTAACGACATCATTTCACATTTATGTGGTATAAGTACACGTAAATATGCCATGCGTAAAATTTTATGACAGAAAAACGATATCTTCGGCATTCGCCACGAACAACATAAAAGCTGCCATATTAACCCTCTCTTGATTTGAATTACAATCAATATCCAGACCCCATACCTCAGCGCAATACAATAATATTGGAAGTTCACTGGACTAAAAACATTGTATAAAACATCACATGGAATAGGTTTAAGTCTTGACAAACTTCTCAGATACTAAATAATACCCTTATGGATTGTGATATATCACTATGAAAGTGCGTATTCCAAGACACATCTTGAGATGTTTATTCTTAAATATTTATAAGAGGTTACACATTCAATAGGAATTTTCCTGAAATACAACTTTAATTTAATAATGCCTCCTTCATTTTGGAAACGACAATCTTACGGTTTTTTAGATTAACAGTAACATTATTTCCATGACAATGTTCCTGCAATGTATAAAGGCAAGGCAAGGCCTAGTTTGGCTCCTGCAGACTTACAGGAACTGATAGTACCATACAAGCCAGCACGTTCTCTCCGATCAAAAGAACAGCTGCTTGTGGTGCTAAAAGTCATGTACTAAATCATATGGCGATAGGTCAAACTATAAAAATACACTCAAAACATGTCTCTTCAAGAGAGCCTTTGACGAGATCAATCATGGTCAGAGCGCATTTGAGGAGTTGGAAAGTGCGCTATACAAATCTTAATGTAATTTAATTCATAAATGCGCCTGAAGACCTGATACATTATCAGAAATTAGTATTAATAATGCCGTTCATAATGCGACGTTGTTACCCAAGGAAGGTTTTCCAATACTTACACATGTTTGTCCCAAGTAGTGGTCGTTTCAAGGTTGATCGATGCATTGTAACTAGTCTCGTCTTGTTTACACAATAGGTGACCACCATCTAGGCACATGTCAGGTTTGCTGTGATCGCTTGTCCGGAGGGGAAGGCGTAGTTCACGGCCGCTACTGACAACCCTGACCATTTATTGCCGATTTTCAGTGATTATTTCATCACTTTTTTCCCTATGGAATCTTTACCGATAGGTTTCTGAGGCTGACTATTCTTCGGCGCTTATATTTAAAGAAAAAAGTCAACGCCAGAGAAAAAACACTCTCGGGTATCTGCCGAAACATATTCCTTAGGGCATGAAAGGCAAAATAGCTGTGAAAACCATATGAATGGTGTTCGCGAAAAGGCTAAATGCACATTATTGTGTCTTCATCTTGTGTCTGTTTATGATTATACATTTGATACCCCTGTATCAAAAGTGAGAAGAATATAAATACATGTAGAAAACAAATCGGTTTGAACAAGTATCTTATTTCGACAAATGTTCTTTTCAGGTCCATTTAATCAGATATATTATTATTATGATTATTGAATCCCGGCTGCTCTTTGTAAATCAACTGCCGTGATCTAATGACCAAATTGAAGACACAGTGACATCACAATTATTATCATATAATACTTAAGATGGACTAATATATCAATTCAGCACAAGCAGGTAGCTTACATGACAATCCGATATGGCATTAAAAAACTGTAGTATCAATTCCTACTGAGTCAAAATGAATTTCGATTTCTTTATTCTTTCAAGAAATCGGTACAGATGCTAGGCGATGCCTCAGTTGAATATAGATTGTCAATGCAAGAGAAAAAAACAGGCAAGATTTTCTGAAGAAACTTATTCAACTTGGAAATGGACCACAGAAAGTCAGTGATGACACCAGGCGTTGACGAAAAGGGTAAGCATGGCCTGCCCTACCAGTAGCACCCACCATTCGTACAAGTTGCATGAAAAAGTATTTAATGCCTGACGCAACACAGCAGTACTCCTGTCATGCTACGTCAGCCTGTGAAGAAACCAGACACTCAAGTGATCGATGAACCACAAAATCCAGTGACACCAACAAATTAGATGAAACTAAAAAAAAACGGTATGTTAAATTTGGATTACGACTGCTGTGTACAAGCGCAGGGAGTTTGCTGCACATAAGTAGAGAAAAACGTTAAGAAATATAGTCGTTTTGCAACACAATGAGATCAATAAGTCAGCTCTGTCTTCAGGGAAAGTGATGCTTCAAAAACATACTCGAAAATTAAGCTTAACTCAACATCGACAAGGACATGCATGGCCACACACAGTGATCGGTATCAATCAGTAGGAATTCTAGTGAAGATCAAGCACACCTTATTAGATCCTTATCGTCAACATACATACACTTCAGTACAAGCAACATCATTACTTGGAACATTCATGGATAATGATGCCTTTCCTGCTAGCCCTCTTCTCATGGAACCTGGTTTTAGTTACGTCCAGTTAAACAACTCGCTACAAAGCAACAATACCCTCTGCTGTAGGATTTACTCCGAAGTACTAAGTGCCAATATTACAAAGCATAGAACGACCTTTTCTACAGTATTGTACAGTCGGATGTTTCTATGCAATGCTAATGGGATCCATTTATTGTGGATTCGGTATTGTGCTGTTTCGGCCATGGTGGGTGGTTTTGAAGACGCTCTATTAATGGAATTTTCACCAAACTGTTTGAAATGTACACGGACAGAAAGTTCAAAGTCCTCTATTCTATAACGGTGCGCTTAAACATTTTCCTTGCCTGAAAGCACAACCAGATGCCCACGCCAACGGTACTAATGGTCCATTGTGCAACATTTAAGCCATTAATGGCCATCCTGAGGGAGGAAGTTGCACTGTCGGCGTTCTCTGTTATAAGTATTGATCTGTGGATCATGGTTGTGTCACTTCTTGTAATATTTTGGCACATATTATACCTTATTTTACCTTACAGATACTCGTTTATGATTGGTTACTGAAAGGGCACTTATTTCCCATCTACCCTGTTCACTGAAAAGGTTTCTTTATGCAAATGAATCGGAATTTCTGTTCGGATTGGCGAAGTCAAAACAAGGTAATTTGTCCAAGAAGATCTGATATCGTTCAATAACAATCAATTAGCCAATTGCCTTCCACTGATTTGCCCACCTGAACTAGAAACAAAGGAGACCAGCGAGATCAACTTATCTGTTTCATATTTAGATCTACGCATAAATATTCAGAGTGACAAAACACACTCCACAAGTCTGTATGGCAACAGGGATGACTTCAACTTTCCAAGAGTCAACTTTCCCTTCATGTCCAGCAATATTCCTGCAGCTCCAGCCTTTGGTGTTTACATTTCTCAACTCGTGATACAATCGAGCATGCTCTTTCTCCCATACGACTCTTGATCAGAAGTTGTTTGATCAAAGTTGCAACATTCAAGGCCTTAGTAAAGCTTTCGAAAGGTTTTATGGTAGACTTGTGGAGGGCATGTCCAAACTTGACGCATCAGTGACAAAAGTATGTCCGATGCATTTCCCTATTGACTTGTATCATATGTTCCCGTATTTTTCAGGTGAACAATTGACTTGCCCTTCCTTGTATTTGTGACGGGTGCCACGGATGGAGCAGGATATGCTCACCTTTTCACCTTTATCATCCCTATGTGATAGTGATTCATAAACACATGCTCATGATAAAGTCGATATTCGTAAAATCGACTCTACTTAATGCATTTCTATTGGATATGGAAAATATTTTGTCGCTTTATTTTTATATATTCTTTAAAATGTGTATGTTGAGTGAAGAGTGAGGGAAATTATTTTATTGTAAATTAAATTTGAC